TCCCAGCGTCTTTTTTTCTCTACGGCTTCTTGATATTCCTCATCGTACCAGTTGTTCTCTCGGGCTCGCTGAAATCCAACTACTTCTTCGGCGGCGGTACTTAACGATCGGTTCCACTGCTCGCGTATGTCGGATTGTTGAAGAGTGCTCTCAGAGAGTAGGTGTGTGAGTCGAGTGGCGAATAAATTGGCCGTATGTTGTGATTGCAGCTTTTCGACGTTAGAGAAGATAATAAGAGCCGCAGAACTGAACCGCTCAGGCACAATAATTTACAAACGCGTACAATTTCTGGCGTATGCCGACGACATCGATATTATCGGTAAAAACAAGGGCTACGTCTGTTCTGCCTTCTCGGGATTGGATAGAGAAGCGATGCGAATGGGTCTGGTGGTGAACGAGGACAAAACGAAGTATCTCCTGTCAGCACACAAACAGTCAGAGCATGCACGTTTTGGCACCCACGTCACTGTTGACAGTTACAGGTTTGAAAAAGTAGACGACTTCGTTTATTTGGGAACCAGCATTAACACCAATAATAATGTCAGCCTTGAAATCCAACGGAGAATCACTCTTGCCAACAAGTGCTACTTTGGGCTGAGTAGGCAATTGAGAAGTAAAGTCCTCTCTCGTCGTACAAAGATCACACTCTATAAGTCACTCATCATNGTAGACGACTTCGTTTATTTGGCAACCAGCATTAACACCAATAATAATGTCAGCCTTGAAATCAGAATCGGAGAATCACTCTTGCCAACAAGTGCTACTTTGGGCTGAGTAGGCAATTGAGAAGTAAAGTCCTTTCTCGTCGTACTCTATAAGTAAGTAACTCATCATGCCTGTGCTGGTGTATGGCGCGGAGGCATGGACAATGAAAGCATCTGATGAGGCTGCTCTTGGTGTTTTCGAGAGAAAGATTCTGCGAAAGATTTAGGGACCTTTACGCGTTGGTGATGGCGAATATCGCAGGCGGTTTAACGATAAGCTGTATGAGCTTTACAACGATATAGACATAGTGCAGCGAATTAAAATTCAGCGGCTCCGCTGGCTTGGCCATGTAGTTCGAATGGACAGAAACGCTCCTGCTCTGAAAATATTCAACGCGGGCCGCGATGCTGGTAACAGAGGAAGAGGAAGGCCTCCTCTGCGTTGGAAAGACCAGGCAGAGAAGGACTTGGCTTCACTTGGCATTTCCAATTGGCGTCAGTTAGCACAGAAGAGAAATGACTAGCGTGCTGTTTTAGACTCGGCCAAAATCGCTTAGGCGGTTACAGCGCCAATAAAGAAGAAGAAGAAGGACTTAACGGAACGTAGAATTTAGAGAATCAAAATGACACAGATTTCGACGTGGCAATTTTAAGCAACACCCATTTAACAGAACTTTTAAGAGATAGCCGTAAGTTACGTTAAGTTTTCATAATCAGACCATAAGACTGACATCACCGACGTCCAAGAAATGCGATAAACAGGCAAAGCGGGGAAAGGAGTGCTATCCCGGTTTTGGATTTGTGGTAGAGGAGAGATTTCGTCGCCAAAAACTGATGCATCAAAGCATACAGCATACAAATTTTGCAATAAGTTTTTAGCGATTTTGCTTAAGTGACTTTCTTGGGTTCCGGTTACTTAGATCATTCGTGTGGTCAAACGTTTCACGATGCTTCAACGGAAAGACGTGATACTCAAAGTCCTTTTTGTGCTCAACTTCAAAAAGCTGCATTCACAGCAGACTGCCTATTTATTCGCAACTCGATCCTTACACCTGCTCTCAGAGAGTATACTTCAACAAACCGACATGTATATAAGCAGTGGGGTCTCATCTGCCGCCCACTACGTAACGCCTTCGAAGAAGTAGTTGGATTTCAGCAAGCAACTGGTACGACAAGGTTCTACGTACCGGAATGACTCGGGTTTCACCCGACCAAGGGCTGTTGTTTCGGCGATCTAACCCCGTTTAGGTCGGCGAAGTATCTTAGAAGTTGTCCGTCCA